TCCCACAGAGTTGACTGCAGTTTAAGTCCTCGACCTGGTGGCTTAAACTCATGCCGGGCGTGTGTGCGTGTGTGCCCAAGATCTGGAGAGGAAAATGGAGGAGAAGGAATTGCAGCATGGCCATCCCCCCCGCAGGGTGATTTCTCACTTTCTGTCTCTCTGTGTCTCTGGCAAGCACACAGAGCAAAAGTCTCTCTCTTTAAAAAGGGGGGTGGGTCTTAATACCATTCATCAAATCCATTCCCTTCCTCATCTGAAAATGCCAGACATACTTGCTTTGCCAGGTTCTCCTATAGCTAGGGCATAAGCATGTGACCTAAGGCTGGTCAATGGGGTGTAAAAAGAAATCTATGAGTGTGCTCGCAGGAAAGGTTTTCCTTTTGGGGGAACATAAAAGGGAGTACAGGAGCCATGCTCCTCTTCATGGGTCAGACATCATTATTCTACATTCGAGGGCTGGAACTGGGCAGCCATCTTGTGATAAGAGGCTCCAAACTTGAGGACCAAGCCACCTGTAGGAGTTGGAGGAACAGAGAGGTGAAAAGAACTTAAAATCCTGGTAGCATCACCAGAAACCAGCTACCTTGGAACTTCATGTTGGGTGAGATGATGCATCTATCTCCTTACTGAAATTGCTTTGAATTTTCTGTTCTGCTCCTTGCAACCCAAAGCATCCCTAACTGGCACGCTATCGGACTGGATTGTTGGAAGGACTGCAGCAAAATAGCACATGCAAAGTACCACTCATCAGTGCCTGGCACCAGAAACAGCAGCTACTCTGGAAATTAGAAAATTATCTCAGGACTTTAACCCTGAGACCGTTCCTGACTGCAGTTTAAGTCCTCGACCTGGTGGCTTAAACTCATGCCGGGCGTGTGTGCGTGTGTGCCCAAGATCTGGAGAGGAAAATGGAGGAGAAGGAATTGCAGCATGGCCATCCCCCCCGCAGGGTGATTTCTCACTTTCTGTCTCTCTGTGTCTCTGGCAAGCACACAGAGCAAAAGTCTCTCTCTTTAAAAAGGGGGGTGGGTCTTAATACCATTCATCAAATCCATTCCCTTCCTCATCTGAAAATGCCAGACATACTTGCTTTGCCAGGTTCTCCTATAGCTAGGGCATAAGCATGTGACCTAAGGCTGGTCAATGGGGTGTAAAAAGAAATCTATGAGTGTGCTCGCAGGAAAGGTTTTCCTTTTGGGGGAACATAAAAGGGAGTACAGGAGCCATGCTCCTCTTCATGGGTCAGACATCATTATTCTACATTCGAGGGCTGGAACTGGGCAGCCATCTTGTGATAAGAGGCTCCAAACTTGAGGACCAAGCCACCTGTAGGAGTTGGAGGAACAGAGAGGTGAAAAGAACTTAAAATCCTGGTAGCATCACCAGAAACCAGCTACCTTGGAACTTCATGTTGGGTGAGATGATGCATCTATCTCCTTACTGAAATTGCTTTGAATTTTCTGTTCTGCTCCTTGCAACCCAAAGCATCCCTAACTGGCACGCTATCGGACTGGATTGTTGGAAGGACTGCAGCAAAATAGCACATGCAAAGTACCACTCATCAGTGCCTGGCACCAGAAACAGCAGCTACTCTGGAAATTAGAAAATTATCTCAGGACTTTAACCCTGAGACCGTTCCAGGGAATGCAGACACTCCTGGCCTGGCAAATCAATCCCTCTCTCTCCTCCTGAGAAAAGGCTGGAGAGTTTTCCGAGAAAGTGGAAACCCAGTGGCAACCCCAGCACTGCAACCCAGTCACCCCACTGGGACCAACCCCATCTTCCACACAAGAATCAATCTCACTGGCGTTTGCCTAATGGATTTTGATTTTCACTCCCCTGACGGTGAAGCCCAGGGCCTGTGCTTTGGTTTGTCTCTGTGTTGCCAGAACATCTCATCAATTATTAACAGCGTCAGCTCAGCTGCCCTGGTACCATTCGTGGAAGGCAAGGGTTTGCTGTGACTCAGCCCCCACCCCAGGCCCAGCACGGCATGCTGCTCCTTGTCGTCTCCAGCTCCCACCCACTTCGTGCTGAGCCCTGCGTTCCGTGTTGACAAACATGACTGCGAGTCGACCTGGAAGGCGGGCCTGCTCTCTCCACCTGCAGGTGGGAGGCTGGGCCTGGAGAGATGAGGACCTTGCCTGAGGCAGAACTAGGGAGGCGGTGGAGATGAGCCCAGACCTGTGTCTGTCTTTGCTCTTAGACATATAAACGTGGCCATTTTGGCACCCACGACCAGCAGAACTGATCTGCGTAGTCCTCTCACTGCTGTCTCTGAGGAATTCTTCCACGGGGCTCCCCATTCTGAAGCGAGGCATCCAACTGGGGGTGGGGAGGGGATAAAGTGCATAAGATTGCAGGAGGCCCCAGGTATGGGGACAGGGTCGCAGGTGGGCAGTGAGACCGTGACTGGTCAATTGCTTGCTTCGTTCGTGAGTTCATCCCCCAGGTTGCTATTTGGAGGTCCCCTGTGCCTGGAACAGTGACCTGCAGCAAAGGGAGCGGTGCCTCCGGTCCGTGGTGCTCACGTTCTCACGGGCAAGACAGAATCACCGAAAATAAACACAGTTTCAGATGGTGCTCACGGACGGTGAGGGGAGACATGGTGCATCTGACAGAGCGAAAGGAGGGAGGCTGTCTCAGACCAGGATCAAGGAGGGTCTCTCTCAGAGGGGACATTGAACAGGGACCTGGCCATGGGACAGGCTGTGGGAGAGCACACCATGCAGTAAGAACAGCAAGTGCAAAGGTCCTGAGGTAGGAGACATCCTGGCCTGTTTCAGGAACAGCCAGGACGCCAGGGAGGCCAGAAGCAAGTGAAGCAGAGGAAAGCAGAGGGGTGAGCTCAGAGAGGTCACAGTGCCAAATTCCGCAGGGCCTCAGATGCCCCAAGGAAGAGTCTGGATGGTATTCTGAGTGTGATGGGAAACCTCTGGAGGGTTTTAAGCAGATGAATAATGTGATCCAATTTACATTTTGAAAGGCTCGCTTTGGCTGCTGCGTAGGGAACGGGTTGCAGGGGGCAAAGAAGAAGCAGGGAGACTAGGAGAAGGCTGTGGCATTCAGTCATTCTGCAAAGAGCACTTGGGTTTCAATTTCTAGCTACTCCTGCTTGCCTGCTGTGTGACCTCGGGCTAGTAACTTAACCTCGCTGAGCTCACTGTTTATGAAAGGTGGGGTGATAACAGGAGTTGTGCGGTTGCACTCTCCACACAGCAGGTGTTCGGTCAGTGGCAGTCAAGATTTCTATCCCGAGGGCCAGCCAGCCTGCCTGCCTCCCCATTTCAGCTCCGGCTGCAGAAAATCCTAGACATCCATCTGCCAGGAATGTGAGCCGGCAGCCCCAGCCCGAGATAGCAGAGAGGTCACCAAGCTTGGTCCTGCAAGCGGATTAACCTGAGGGAGAGGAGAGGCTGTTTGTCCCCCAACGGCTGGGCATCTGCAGGTGCCGGCACTAACACAGCCCTTTGCCTGCTTCTTCGCCTAGAAGGCAAACTCTCCCATTTCCTGGCACTGGCTCTCTGGTCTTAGGGTCAGGGCAGGAGAATCCTGTTTGAGTGTAGATGGGGTGTGGAGTGGGAGAACCTGTGTCAGGCCTGGAAATAGCAAAACAAGTCTGTTGATCCTAAGCCGATTAAGAGTGAGTGACTCAGTCTTAAGAGGGAAGCTTTTTGGATACAAAACCTGGGACAGGATTATGGCCAGAGGCATCCCTCGGCTTCAGAGGAGGATCTAGGACCATGAACCTTGATATCCTCTGTGGGGACAGCAGCGGAGAGAAAAAACTGTGGGTTCTCCCCACCCTACTCCCAGGGGTCTCTCCTTGGGGAGACAGATGTGGGGAAGCACCTCACAGAGGCCCCTTTGGTGGGGACCTGCCATGGGCACTCAGTGGGGGCCAGTGGAGGCAGGGAGACTCCACCATGAGGCCAGGCTGGACCTGAGCCACCCTAGCTAATTAATTATGACTGGATTGTAGCCTCTCTTCCTTTTGCCAAGAACCTATTTTCCTGCCCCTCAACCACCCTCCTTTCAGGTCCCCCTCTCAGACTGTGGTTCAAGTTCTCAGTCTTGCTGGATTAGAACATCAGCGCCTCTCTTTTCGGGGCAACCCCTGGGCTTCATGAGACCTTTGGTATAGCCCTGAACACACCGTACTGTCCTTTACACCTGACACCCAGCACGCCGGCCCTGTAAAGACAAGCCTCCCTCTCACCCCAGCCTGCCACAGCAAAGTTGCCCCTCAGCCAGCACGCTCCTGCCCTGCCCCGACCCCCTTCACCCGGTGGCTCTCAGAAACATGACCACACTCATCCCTGCTCCCTTCCCCTCCCGCGTTTCTCACGCTGCCTCCTCTTCCTCTCTTACTTTAAAACTTCATCCTCTTCTAGTAACCGAAGCATGTTTCTTCAAACCACTCTTGGGATAAACACATCAACTAAACAAATAACCAGGGGTGACTCCCTCACCCACAGCACCTACAGCCAACCAGACGGGTCATGCGTGTCCACATCACCCCAGACAATACTTCAACGTCCTCCGAGCACGTCTTCAAGAGGCTCTTATTCCCTTCCCAGGACACAGTAAGTAATAAACAGAGGAGCAAGAATTAAAACCGCAGGGTGACCACTCCAGTCTGAGTCTGGGACTTTGCAAGGAGGTAACTTCCACTCCTCAGCAGCAAGGCCCCGTGGGCTCTCAGTGCACTCTCTGTGCTTTTTCAGTGTCCTGCCCATGGCAGTGGCTTTTTCTAAGTCCCTGCAAATCCTTTTCTCCAACAAAGTAGGAGTAGAAGATTTTGAATAATGAAAAGATGGGGTGACAACAGCACGTAGGAAATTCTGAGAGAGTTGGCCCTCACCTCCAGACGCTGGGCCATACACAGCTCCTCTGCCTTCATCTTTGAGACTGAGCCAGAGTCCCCAGGTCTGGTGCTCAGTCTGGGGGCACACGCAGACCCCCCCACCCCACCAGCAGCCCCCAGATCCCAAACTCACCTTGGCAGCCACGGAGGAGTTGGGCTTCTCCAGGAGGTCCCAGAGCTTCTTCCGCTTCTCCGCGCAGCACGTGTTATCGAATTCCTCGCCCTCGCGCTCGCGGAGGGTCTCGGCCTCCCGCTTGAGCTCCTCGTTCATCTGCTCCTTCTTCTGGTGGTAGCGGGCCTGGCAGCAGGACTCCAGGTAGATCTCATCGATGCCCCAGTAGTCGAGCTCCTGGCTGAAGCTGAGCGCGCACATCTCCTCCATCATGTGCAGCCGCCCAGTGCGGTAGAAGTTGAGGATGGAGGTGAAGGCGCCCGGGTGGCGGTCGAAGAAGTACTCGTTGTCGTCGAGGCTGTAGTCGTCGCACACCTCGAGCAGTGAGTCGTGCGTGTTGCAGTCGCGGAGCTTGCCCAGCCGCGTGCGAGGCAGGCGGTCCAGGGTGCGCCACAGCACCTCGTGCGCCAGCCCCCCGACGTTGAGGCGGACGCGCCGCGAGCACGCCTTGCTGCGCACGATCTCCATGGGCTCGGGCGGCAGCGAGCTGGTGGAGCGGGAGCCATGCTTCGTCATGCCCGCCGGCATCGCTGGCACGGCTGCCCCCCCCCCCCCCCCCCCCCCCCGCCCGCCCAGGCCGCTGTCACTCGACGGCAAGGCCCGCTGCCTCAGGGGGAGGGGGGCAGGGAGCGCTGTGGGCTGCTGGGGACGCAGGGGGCCGCGCGGGCGCGCGTCACGGCTGTCCTCTCACCTCCATCCCGATGGCTGCGAGGCAGAAAGCGAAAGCGGACGCAGGTCAGCAAACTGGGAGCTGGGCAGGGCTCCTCCCGACCCTCCCACCCGGGTCCCAGCCGGCCTTGACCTTTCTGGCGGTTAAGCGGCTCAGGGGGGGTAGGCTGGCTGGGCGCTGTTCCTCCTGCCGGTGCTGAAGTCCATCCGCCCCATGGCTGGAGGGAGGGGCTGCTCTGGGGGCGGGGAGAGGGCCCCAAAGGGTGCCCCTGAAGCCTGGGAGGCTCCACCCCGGACTTCGCGGCCCAGGCGCTACCCGGCCGCCGGGCGCTGTCCACCCCGTCGAGTGCTGAAACTCGCTTCTCCACGGGTCTCCCCGTCGAGTCCCAAACCTGACCCCGCAATGAGCCGGGGGGAGGAGGGGTGCTGCATGAAAAACTTTCTTTCTTTTTAAACGAGTTCTCATCTTTTCCCTCCCCCGCGCGAGATCAGTCTTTGGCTGGAAACCTTAAAAGATTTGAGGCAATTCTGGAGGGCGTTCCAGGTGCCCACCTGTCGGAGGTCACCACGGACGGGGTGTTCACGACAGCCCCTCTGTCCTGGAGCGACCCCTCTTCCCAAAGCACCTGAGCTCCCCCGAGGTCGCTCCGCGATGAGGTGAGCCAGGAACACGCGAAGCCAGCCTGCTCAGGGTCCCACGCCTCCCTATTCACCCCCTACCCTACCGCAGAGGGGCGCGCAAGGTCCTCAGGATCCGCCAGCTTCGTCTTCCCTCTCTCCTTCCCCGCCCCCT